GCACGCGAGGCTCGTCTTGCCTGTGGTTATGACACTACGACACCGGAGGCCGGTGGGGGCGCTGCGAACGGAGATGGTCTTCCTTCTGATGATCACAATGCTGTCGAGGACGGTGGTGGAGACGAGGCCGAGTAAAGTTTTTGTAGCATTTTATACTTAGCTTTTCATTTTTGTTATTTTATTGTTGCTTGTTCTTTCTTTTTATGGGGGTCGCTTTTGGCCTTTTGTAAGACGTTGTTGCGTGTATATATCTTCTGAATAATATAGTATGTTTGCTTTGGTTGCATATCTTCTGACTCTGTCATCATTTTTCATTTTCATTCTTCATCATCATTTTTTTTGAAAAAGATCTTCAAATTTTCCCGTGATGAGTCCCTGATTTTTAGTTGGGAATTCGAGTGAGGTCAAATTTAGCTCGTCAATTCGAGCGAGGTCGGATCTCATCTTGTTAGTTCAAGCTGGGTCGAGCCTTACTTTGTTAATTCGAACGAGGTCGAACTTTAATATCTTGAATGAAAGTCGAATTTTACTCTTTGACGATGGCCGATGGCCGTAAGGGTGTTGATTCGAGCAAGGTCAAATTGTTACCCGTTATGGTTCGAGTGAGGTCGGACTTTGGCTAGTTAATCCGAACGAGATCAAATTTTCCTTTCGCTTGGTGACGGCTGATGGCCGTAAGGGTGTAAATTCGAGCGAGGTCGAAATGTTACCCGTTATGTTCGATCGAGGTCGAACTTTATTGTTTGGCGATGGCCGATGGCCGTAAGGGTGTAAATTCGAGCGAGGTTGCATTGTTACCCGTCATGGTTCGAGCGAGGTCGAACTTTAACTCTGGTAGTTCGAACGAGGTCGAATTTTACTTTCGCTTGGCGATGGCCGATGGCCGTAAAGGTGTAAATTCGAGCGAGGTCGAATCGTTACCCGTCATGGTTCGAGTGAGGTCAAACTTTAACTTTGCTGATTCGAACGAGGTTGAATTTTACTTTTGCTTGGCGATGGCCGATGGTCGTAAGGGTGTAAATCCGAGCGAGGTCAAAATATTACACGTTATGGTTCGAGCGAGGTTGAACTTTAACTTTGCTAATTCGAACGAGGTCGAATTTTACTTTCGCTTAGCGATGTGTGGGCTCGGTAGAGTGGCGAGACTTGCCTGCTGCATTGCCTTTATTGGAGAATATTACTCATTGCTGCATTGTTTATGTGTGCATCGGGGTGAGTCCCAGTCTATTAGTCCCTTCATTGCTCGGCATGGGAGGGTCGTTGACGGGACGGGCGATGAACTTATTGCTTGAGCTTCTGAGCACCTTGGGACTTGATTAGTTCGAACGAAGTTAGGACGTGATTCATAATATTTAGTCGGCGGAATAAGAGTAGGATTGCCATGGTGAGCATGCGTGCAAGCTTTTCGTGTTCATATTCTGCCTGTGTTGGAGAGATTGTACGTTCCGTGGGCTCCCCGCCTAGTCCCAGGATATGGAGATTATTTCTTAATGATGTCGGCTTGTTCTGAGCCGTTCGTCTGCTATTCGTAGTATGGTACGGTGCGGAGGTTTTGCTCAACCGTTGCTTGTGGGATGATATGGTGCGGAACATTTTCCTGGTGTCGTTTTGGTGGTGTTTGTTCCTTGTTTGCGCACCTGGGAGAATGCTCACGTTCCTATCCCAATCCAAAAAAGGAAAATAACATCAAAACCAAACGAAATCGTCTGTTACCTTGACCTGATCGGTTGGCGAGGGGAGAGGGGCACTGTAGGGCGACTCGTTTTGCCCCGTGCTCGAACGACGGCTTCAGATTTGATAGCCTTGCGCTTAGCTCCACTGTTAGTCGAGTCTGGGCTTCTTATGGGCTGACAACTTACTTAGCCCGTTTAGGGATCTCGAGCTCGAGACCCAGTCCGATCCCGTCCCAGATGCACAAAATAAGGGAAATATAAGTTATATTCCGTTCATACATGTATAAAAATGAGGGATACATAAGTTATACTTCGTACATACGGGCAAGACAAACTTGTTATTTCAAAGAATCATACAATAGGCTATCGTCCCTTCCTAAGAGGTGGCAATGTGCGCGAAGTATAGATCGGTATCTAATCGTTAACATAGCAAATAGGGTTGCGGACGTGCTCAGTGCGTAGTGACCATAATCCCACTTTGGCGACTCATACGACGTGCCAAACCCATCGCTACAGAAAGATGTGGACTTTGTATAGATATCAGACAATTTCGATTTCATGCAAAGATCTGGACTTGGTAGGTTTGGTTATTTCGAAAGCTTGCCTACAAATTTCTCAAGTGGGTATTTGCAATGTGAGGGCGAGGCTACGACAACCGGGAAGTGGAACTCTGGCTGACTTTAGATCTAGAGGAAACTATAATTTTGGCTAGAAAACCCCCACAGACGGCGCCAAATTGTTCGACCAAAAAGATTTAGACCTTTTGTTGAACTAATTAAATAAGAAGATTTTAGGTAAATCCTAGCCAAAGATAATTGACCCTAGATCTAAGATAGAAGATAAGGACGAGCAAAGCAGAACATAAGATTTAACTATAATAATGGTTGAATCCCATTATGTAAGAAAAGAATAGTGATTTTCATAATATTGAATAATAATGAAGAAAACATAGATAAAAGGGGGTCAACGATCTTTAACAAGGTTGACCCCCATACATCTTATATGATGACTAACGATGTGTACTGAAGATCTGAGCTCCCTTGCCTCTTTCTCCTTAGCGGAGAGAAAGGGATGAAGATCCCTCTTCTTCCATGAAAATATGTCTGTGTATGAATTTGTTTCAGCCCCTTTTCTTCTCCCTCTCACTTAGTTTATATACTAGGTATTCTCTATTACCCAACGATCATTAGCCATAATATCTAAGTCATTTGACTGTACTATTGGTTGATCCTCTGAAATGTCGTAACATCCAATTCACCGTTCAAGCGTTCTGAATACACGACCTCGACCATGGCCGAGGTGAGTGTCGTTATAGCGTTGTATGGATCGGCCTAAGTGACTTCTTGTCGTTCCTCTTCACGCGAATTCTCGTCTGGTCAAATTTTGACCCATACAGTAACAACATTTGATTTTTTATTTATGTGCTCCACAACAGTCTTCGAAGGGGAGCCCTAGAGCAATGGTTAAATTGTTTCTGTGACTTATAGGTCACGGTTTCGAGCCGTTGGATCAGCCATTGATGTTTACATTGGGATAAACTGACTACATCACACCTTTTTGGGGTGTTGTCCTTTCCCAGATCCTGTAGGAAGACGAAATACTTCGTGCACCAGACTTCGCTACGGTCTTCATGTAATCATTCAAAGTTAACAATCGAAATAAATGGATTGGATGACACAATAATGGATAATGTACTATGTTTACCATTGAGGAATCTGATCAAATGGTAAAGGTTTATTTGCTTATAACCAATGTTTTAAAAGGCGGGAGCGTGAAGCGAAGCGTTTTACCTCTGACGAGGCGAGGCGTAAGCCATGAGACATGGGGCGTAAGTCCCACAGATCTTTAAATTTTAATGATTTCAAGAATTTTAAGATAGTATAAAAAAAATTATAAAAATTACATTTAAATCACAAAATTATAACAAATAATCTATTTAAAATATTTATAAATTATAATTCAACTATGAATAATACGAAAAGTATGATATATCATAATATGCAAATTAGCTGCAACTTCATTACAACTCAAACATCAAAAGTAATGTATTCGATACGAAATCTTATTTGTATCTCTTAAGGAGTAATGAATCTTGAAAGAATTTTGATATTATAATTTGATATTTTTCTTAAAATACTCTTTTTATTTAATATGATTTCTATTTGAAAGAGAATCTATATAGAAACATAATTCATAATTTAAATACGATTCTCTAGCATCATTTATTTTTAAGTTTCAACAAGTTAATAAAGTGACACATAATTTACCATACAATACCATGATAACTAATTATTTATAAATAGTTACTAGCTAATACTGAGCTATTAAATTAATAAGTATTGTATCTCGTAAACGCGAAGAAAAAAAATATTTAGAAAAATAATTATAAAAAATTATGGACTATTATATAGTAAAGACATAACAAAAGTTAATAAATAAATACCTTTTAAATGAAAGATTTATTTAAAATTAACTATCATAGCAGTCTTAGTGGATAACGTGCAATAATTTTTATTTTGATTATGACATAAAATACTCTCAACTTAATGATTTATGATTAAGAAAAAAGTAATTTTGAATAGTCAACGATTTATTAAGCAAATTTGAGAATTACAAGGTTAGTTAAATAGAATTAGATAAAGTTCTATTAGGCGAGCCCAGTACGCTGGGCGTTGGGCGCATCCGGGGCGTAAGCCCTGATGGCCGAGGTGTAAGTCTCACGGAACTAAACTCCACGCATAAGCCCAGGGGCGTTTTACGAGTGCTCCGTCCCGGGGCGAGCCCCGAGCGAGTCCTAATTCTGCCTTTTAAAACAGAGCTTATAACCATAGATCTTGGATTTAAGTTTTGGAAATGTGAAAAAAAGCGCTAAACTCCATAAAGGACCTTCTATAGTAAAAATTTGGATTAATTTGGATTAATCGAGTCAGTAATTTCTTACACCGAATGGCTAAAAAAAAAAAATCTAAACCGGTTTCATCTAAAGGAATAATTAGATAAAACAAATATCTAGTAGAGCTGAAAATTTTACAGAGGGGCCAAAAGCACCCATTGCCCAAATCCCTAGCGCCTCCATTTACGAAGAATCCACTGGTTTTTGACGAAATATCCTTCTCACGGTGACTTATACATTTTATATTGAATACTCATAGACAACTACTAAAGGAGATGTGCCACCAACTAGTAGAATTCAAAAAGGTGTGGAAAAAAAAAACTAAAACTCTTTTGAAGCTGACATAGTTCATCGTTCTTGGTGAGTCAACATTTTACAACCACTAGTGGGGCTTGCATCAATATTGCTATAATGAACCAAATATCCAAAATACCTCTCACCAACTATTATCCACTTCTCCTATATAAATACCAACCTCAAACCATTCTCTTCTTCAATATAAATCACTATTGCAGCAAACTTTTCATCTTTAAAATATTCAATTACTTCAAACTATCAAAAAAATGGCCATTATTCTTGATGATGAAGCCCCTATTCATGGAGATGTCTTAGAGGTTATTCTTTCGCACGTGCCACTTGTCGACTTGGTTCCCGCTTCGTGCGTGTCAAAATCATGGAGCCGAGCTATAACCTCTTCTCTCCGATGCTTTAACAAACCAAAGCCGTGGCTCATTATCCACACCCAATGCACTCGCTCCCCCTATGACATTTCTGTACACGCTTATGACCCCCGCTCGCACGTGTGGCTTGAGATATCTCAGCCGTCCATTAAGTACGTCTCCGCCCTCCGATCATCCCATTCCAATTTGCTCTACATGCTTTCGCCTTCAAAGCTCTCTTTCTCATTCGACCCGATGAATGTCACGTGGCATCACGTCGATGCACCGCGCGTGTGGCGGACAGATCCTATCGTGGGTCACGTAGCCGGCTCTATCATTATAGCCGGCGGTACATGCGATTTTGAGGACGATCCTTTGGCCGTGGAAATCTACAACATGGAGACTCGCACGTGGGAAACGTGTGAGTCCATGCCCGCGATACTCAAAGACTCCGCAGCTTCCACGTGGCTGTCAATTGCCACCACCGGCGATAAACTCATTGTCACCGAGAAATTCACTGGCGTCAGTCACTGCTTCGACCCAACAACCAAGAGTTGGGCCGGACCTTACGAGCTAAGGCCCGACCCACGAATTTTCCACTCGATCATTGGATTCTCCAATGATCGTCTGATACTCATTGGCATGATCGGAGACGCTGAAAATGTCACCGGAGTTAAAATTTGGAAAGTGAACACGGAGAATTTTGAGTGTCAGGAAATGGGGGAAATGCCGCCGGCGCTAATTAAGAAGCTGAAAAGTGAAACTTTTGGAGTTTCTTCAGTTAGTGTGTGTTTAGCTGGAGATTATGCATACATGTACAAGTCGTCGGAGATGGCGGAGGAGATAGTGGGTTGGGAGTTCAAGAACGACGGCGGATTACGGTGGTGGAGCATGAAAAATGCGGCGGCTGGCGACGGAAATAGATCGGAGAGAGTGGTGTTTACTTGTTCTGTTATTGGGTTGCCCGATTTACAGCGAGCTATGTCATTGGAAAATCGAAAATTTACTGTGAAGCTGTGAAAATTTGACGCATGGACAAAATTATTTTTTTATTTTGTATGTTGCGGTTGATTTATAGTTCTTTTTTTTATTATTTAAAAATTGTTGCTACCAACCCTTGGTTAATTGATTAGAGCAGAATTTGACTAATTTGGCAAGTCACCAACAACGGGTCCACTTTTTGTTAGTTGAAATATGACTAATTTTGCTAAAAAAAGTAATTATATTATCAGTTATAAATTAAGTAGCATAGTAGTTGAATCATTAATCGTTACTTCTTGCATCATTCTTGTCTCCTAGTTTAGGTGCTTCCGGTTTTAGTCGTCCATTTAAAGATATTGTAAGAAATTAAAAGAAATAAGAAACAAAACCAGAGAAGAAAAAGAAAGGATTGGAGTTGCAGTTAGATGCCTTCCTCTTCTTTATGCTCTCCAAAATTCTATCGAGTACGCTGAAACCAAAAAAGATTGTTTACCCAAAAAAAAGGAGAAGTTCCAACAACACCTACTTTTTGGGGTTTTTGGTTTAGCTTATTTTGCCAAATGGGCCAATATACTCGATGAGCTTCATATCTGGAAGTAGGCCTAATCAGCTTCAGATTGTAAAAATTGCATGTGGCTCCTTATTTGGTCGCCCAATTTTAACTTGTACATGTTTTGTTTTTTCGTTTGTATTCGTACACGGTTTTTGTTAAAAGAATTTTAAAAAGATAATTTTTCGCTTCTTTAATAAAAGGCTACTTTCAGCAAAATAGACTGAAGTTTCAGATAAAACTCATGACAAAACTATAGACCGTAGGACAAAACTTCAGCATGTTTTGGTATGAATGTGACGACCCGGCCCGTCGTCACGTGAGTTACCGCCCCGTTTTTCCCATATTATATTTGTCTATGCTTCATTATCGGTATTTGAGGTAATCGAGTTGGATTGGTTTGGTCTTGGTAGGAGATGAGACATTTAGTCTCTCTAAGGAAAGCTTGTTTTGGAAAAGTCAACCGGAAGTTGACAGTTGGTTAGAGGGCTCGGGTGTGATTTCCGGAGATTCGGTTAGCTTCGGGGATGATTTGTGACTTAGGAGCGTGATCGGAATTGGTTTTGGAGGTCCGGTGTAGAATTAGGCTTGAATTGGCGAAGTTAATATTTTGGCAAATTCCGGTTGGTAGGTGAGATTTTGATCTGAGGGTCGGAATGGAATTCCGAGAGTTTCAGAAGCTCCGTTAGGTGATTTTGGATGTGTGTACAAAATTTCAGGTTATTCGGAGATGTTTTGGGTCGAGTTTTGATCGAATGCGTATTGCGGAAGTTTTGAAGAAACTTAGGCTTGAATTCGATGTGATTTAAGGATTTTAGCGTTGTTAGACGTGTTTTGAGGATTGGAACAAGTTTGAATAATGTTTTAAGATGTGTTGGTAACTTTGGTTGAAGTCCCGGGGGCCTCCGGGTGATTTCGGGTGGCTAACGGAAGGAATTTGAAGTTGGAAAATTGCAGGTTTTTGGTTGCAGCAGGTGTTTCCGCATCTGCGGAAAGGAGATCGCAGATGCGGCCTCGCAGGAGCGGAAATAGGAGCCCAGGTCAGGTTCCGCAGAAGCGGGACATTGGGTCGCTTAAGCGGTCCCGCAGATGCGAAGTTGGATCGCAGAAGCGGAAAGTCGCCTTAAGTGAAAGGTCCGCAGGAGCGGACATTGACCACATAAGCGGAAGGCGCAAAAGCAGGAATTAATCTGCTGAAGCGGAAATAACTGGCAGGTTAAGTGAGAACATCTTCTTCGCGAATTTTTGAAAGAGTGACATTTTGGACTCCGAACCTTGAGAGCTTTGAGGCGATTTTGAAGAGGGATTCGAGGGCTATTATCAGGTATGAACTCTTGGACTTAGAGCTTGATTTTATGGTGCATAAACATGAATTTGGACTGAATAATCAAGGAATCAAAGGTCAAAAATGGCGGTTTAGGGCTTGAATTTAAGAGAGTTTAAAATAGGGATTTGAGGGGTCAAATGGACCCCGATGTTGATGATTTTGATATGTATAGACTCGTGGCGAGACGAGGAATCCGGAGATGTGAATTTCGTAATTTTTCGAGAAGTGGGCCCGGGGCTCGGGTTTTGCCAACTTCGTAATTTTTGATATTTTTCGAGTCTTTTCGGTTGGGTTATGACCCATTAGCCTATTGTGATGTATTCCTTGTGGTTTTGATCAGATTCGACGTGCGAGGAGGTCGATTCGAGGGGAAAAGGCATAGCGAGCTAGACTTTGACCGGCTAGAGGTGAGTAATGATTTTAAATGATGTTCTGAGGGTTTGAAAATCCCAGACTTGCACAACTTGGTGCTATGTTGAGATGAGACACGCGCTCCATGACGAGCTCGGGGTCATTTACTATTGGGGACTGTGACTTGGTCCAGTCCGGATGATATTTTATCGCGTATTAGCAATGACTTGTTGTTTTCACTATGATTTGGGCTTATTGCCATATTTTGGGCTTATTGCCGACTGTTTGAACACTTTATGAACTATCATCACTGTTTTCCTCACTGTTTGAAATATTATTTGAACTCAGTCCATGTGATTTACACTGTTTCTTGAACTCAGCCATATTTACTCAAACTTGGAGTTTTAAACTGATATTTGAACTATTATTTGAGCTGAGTATTATTGCTTTACTGTTGCCCGAGGGGCTGTTGACTATTTCTGGACTGATTGAGGCCGAGGGCCTTATGTGAGGGCATGATGAGTGAGGTGAGGAGGCTTTCAGGCCTCGTATTGACACTGTTCAGGCTTTCAGGCCTTGTTGATAGCGCTTGGGCTGTAGGAGCCCCTCCGGAGTCTGCACACCCACAGTGAGCGCGGGTACCCATCTAGAATGATTAAATATTGAACAGTGGTAACAATGACACTGTTATACGCGTTTGGTCAAGTAACAATGACTGACCAGTCAGGTAACAATGACTGACCAGTGGTAACAATGGCACTATAATACGCGTTTCGTCAGGTAACAATGGCTGACCGGTCAGGTAACAATGGCTGACTTACTGGTTGAGTATGATTGATTTTTAACTGTTTTCAAAAATATTTTCTTCCTATATTTTACTGGTTTCTACTGTTTATCTGATGTTGCTGCTTGAAATAGCATTATTTGTGCCCTTGTGGGATTTTATGTTCTCAGTCGTTATTTAATTTTATTACTCACTGGGTCGGAGTACTCACATTACTTCCTGCACCATGTGTGCAGAGACAGGCACAGCTGAGGTCGTACCTGAGCGCTGATTTCCTCCAAACCAGGCGGACTAGGAGAGACGAGGTAGCTGTCGACGTCCACAACCCCGTTTCTTCCTTATCTTCTGCATATTTTATTCATCTTCAGACTATATTTCTAGACTTGTAGTATTTTCATCAACTCTGTAGTAGCTCGTGACTTGTGACACCCCGATCATCGGGCTGAGTTTGGGATGATTTTTCCCCGTTATGTCACATTTATTTCCGCACTTATTATTAATCAATATCTATGGTTTAAACCTGTTATGCTAAGAAAATTTTCAAAGGCAGTGTTGATTGTTCTGTTGGCTGGCCTTGTCTTCACGAGAGGCGCCATCACGACCGGGTGGGAATTGGGTCGTGACAAGTTGGTATCAGAGCCTAGGTTACTAGGTCTCACGAGTCATGAGCAGGTTTAGTAGTGTCCCTCGGATCGGTACGGAGACGTCCATACTTATCCTCGAGAGGCTGCAGAACCCTTAGGAAAACATCACATTCTTGAAATTCTTGTCGTGCGATTTTGTTGATCCGGGAACTAAACTTCTGTGTTCTATCCTCTCGCAGATGGCGAGGACCCGCCGCTACAGGACGAGACGGACGCCCACTGGTACCACCTACTGAGGGTACTAGAGGCCGCGGGTGCGGTCGTGGTCGCGGTAGGGCAGAGCCGCGGGGACAGCACCCATTGCCCCACCAGTTGCCCCGGCTCAGGATCAGGCCCCAGCTGCAGACATTCCAGCAGCACCTGTACAGGCACCGACAATGCCCATTGTGATTCCGGGTCTCCAGGAGACCTTGGCTCAGATACTATCAGTTTGCACTGGCCTAGCCCAGGTAGTTTCAGCCACTGCTACAGCGGCTACCTCTCAGGCCGGGGGAGGCAGTCAGACCCCCGCCACTCACACACCGGAGCAGGTTATGCAGGGTTTACAGACACCAGGAGTAGCTCCAGCTCAGCCGGTTGCACCACCAGCACCAGTTGCACCAGTTGCACCAGTTCAGGACTTTGTAGTCCCAGTTATGCCAGACGATGAGCAGCGTCGTCTTGAGAGGTTCAGTAGGCTCCAGCCTCCATTTTTCATTGGTGCTCAGGGCGAGGATGCCCAGGGATTTCTGGACAAGTGTCAGCGTATGCTTCGGACAACAGGGATTTTGGAGACTAGCGGGTTAGCATTCACCGCATTTCAGTTCACTGGGGCTGCCTTCACATGGTGGGAGTCGTATGAGCGGCGTAGGCCTGCAGGTGCAGCGCCTTTATCATGGCAGGAGTTCTCCACTATCTTTTTGGAGAAGTGGGTACCACAGTCTCAGAGAGAGGAGCTGCGCAGGCAGTTCGAGTGGCTTCGACAGGGAGACATGACTGTGACCTAGTATGAGGCGAGATTTTCTGAGTTGGCCCGTCATGCCTCGTGGATAGTTCCGACCGACAGAGAGAGGATCAAGAGGTTTGTAGATGGACTTAACTATCACCTCCGTGTTCTGATGACTCGAGAGAGAGTTCTGGGTATTTCCTTTGAGGATGCAGTTGATATTGCTCGTGATATTGAGATGGCTCGCCGTCAGGACAGAGAGGAGTGGGAGGCCAGGAGGCCTCGAGGTCTGGTAGCTTCAGTGGTGCTCCGTCTAGGGGTCAGTTCCAGCAGAGCAGAGGTCGTTCATTTAGTCCTCCTCAGTCAGCTCGCTCTGAGTATCGTGGGTCATCTTCCGGCCGAGGTCATCAGGGTTAGCAGCAGAGCCAGCCATCTCTCAGCGCTCTTCCAGCTCAGGGTTCATCACGAGCTCCATCTGTTCAGGGTTCCTCCAGACCGAGTGCGTCGGCCAGTCACTCTGATGTGCGGGGTTCCCTTCAGTCCCATTCTCCAGCACCCGGGAGCTGTTATTAGTGCAGGGAGGTTGGGCACATATGGAGGCATTATCCTCGGCGTCGTGGTAGT